GTTGGTTATTTATATATTATGTGAACAACATGCATACATATGTAATATGATTCCAATATATCAAATATAAATAGATGCCACAAATAAAATACTGTCAGTATTTCACTAATAATTCTCTATGAGTCGAACGCATTAAACTAAAATAATAATAATTATTATAATGTTTAAATTCATATTTATAAACAGTTTTAATTAATTTATACAACAAATAGCCTAAATTGATTTTTAATTAAAACCAGCAATTAAAATAGCATATACTTATATATACAGTTATTATATATGGTTTATGTATTTTCCAGTGGCCAAAACAAAAGTCCTCATATGAATGTGTTCAAAAGTAGTTATATACAGACAATATACACACATATAAAGTGCTTATCAATATTTAGCGTCGCTTTTAGTAGGTCATTTATCACCGATCACAGGCAGCCCAGCACAATGCGAGCGATGCGAACAAAGCGAAGTGGATGCGCTTATATGCATATCAGTGAGTTGATAAACGAGATGCCACATAAAACATTTTGGCTTATTACCAGAACGAGGCGGACTCTATATACACACTCGTATATATAAGTATATACATATATACTTTTATTTAGCAGAAACATAAGCCAACAGTGCAATCTGGTCGGTGGCTGGCGCTATTAAAATTTCAATTATTTGAGCTTGTCATTGGAAAAGATGATTAGCACAAAACGAAAACAAAAACAAAGAATAAAGCAAACGCAACGCAATTTGATAAATCTGATTAGACTCTGGCGCAGTAAATAATTGTATGCAAATTTATTTAAATGCATATTTACCCGCGTAATTGCTGCAAATTTACGTTTCATTTAGCCGCATCGTCGCCAGCAAAACGAGAAAAAAAAATAAAAGGACACAGGTCACAGGACCTCACGGCCAAGCAAATGACCAAATGGCGGCAATGAAAAAGCGGCAAACAGATTATAACTCCCAGCTGACATTGTGGGCTTTATTATTTGGCCATTGAAAAATGTGACGCTGCTTGGCTCAGCGGCTCGGCGACCCAAGTGGACTTTCATTTTTCAAAGTTAACCCGCAGCCTGGGCGAACCTTTTTTTTTTATACCCTGAACCCATTGAAAATGGGAAATCAGGGTATAATGGTTTTGTTGAAATGTATGTAACAGGCAGAAGGAGGCGTGGCAGACCCCATAAAGTATATATATTCTTGATCAGGGTGACGAGCTGAGTTGATTTGGCCCTGTCCGTCTGTCTGTCTGTCCGTCTGTCCGTCTGTCCGTATGTTTGAACGCGTCGATTTCCGAAGATATAAGAGCTAGAGACTTCAAATTTTTTGTAAAATGTTCGTAATTACAGCGCGGATATCGAGTTTATCATTAAAATTCGATAACTCATCCCGATCTTTTTTTATCGATNTGTGTATGTGTTTGTGTATGTGTGTGTGTTTCTTGTGTAAGCTGAAAGACGCGAAAAATTATTGAAATAGCTAGCACTCCAAGGGTTCAGGGGATCTCGTAGTCGAGCAGTCTCGACTAGAGCTTTCTTACTTGTTTTTTTTGTTTTTTTGGGTGTTCGTTGGAGGCTCTGTGTTTGTTTAAACATCGCCGGGATTTGCTCGCCAGCTCTGCAGCTTTTTATTGTTTACCTTTTGGTCTGTTTGCTGATTGATCCCTCGGGTGGCTGGGTGGGTCAGCGTTTCGTTTCGTTTCGTTTCGGTCCGGCGTAATTAATTTTGCTTTTTGATTAGTGCATGGCAAAAAGGAGAATCATCAAATTGTCACGTAATTATATTTGTGTTAATGATGTTTCGTGCCAGCCATGAAAAGTCAATTAATATTTGGCAAAATGAACAATTTAGATTTGACATCAAAATCAACATCAGCGACGCGTCGAGGGCCAAGGGCCGAGGGCCGAGGGCGAGCGGAATCTTTAATTAAAAATTGCTAGGCCGCAGCTTTATGCATGCTGTGATTTTTAATTTCCATTGAAATTGCAGTCGTCTACCGAAATCTGTAGCATTTGATTCATATTTTCCATCATTTGAATTTGATTTGTTATTGTTGTTGTTGTTTTTTTCTTCTCGTTCAAAAAGTCATTCAACTCGAGTCGGGCACGCGACCCTAAAGCTGAGTCAGATGCCAACTGACTGCTCCATTAAATTATATAAGCGTTAAGTGGCTATTAGCCGCTATTTAAGCCAGAAACAGGTTTTTATTTGGCTGGTAGCAATTCCAGTTAACCGACTGAGACGGAATTGCAACAACAACTGCGAAAGTATGGAGAAGGTGTGAAACGGCTACTGAATATATTCAAATGATGAACTGAAGCAAATCGAAAGGCACTCGTAAATGCCTATTAAACATTCCATTTGCATTTAGTTTGTGAATATTTCGTATAATTATCATTGTTGCTTGGCAATTTTAGATTGCATTCTGCTCTCATGGCGCGTTTTTAATTGCAAACTTTTGTTCGTTTGGCTCAAGAACTATTACTCATACGCCTGGCTGGAGAAGTTGAGCTCACGTTACGCATACGACATGTTGCACAGCAGTGTTTGACTTAAATGCAAGCAAGCCAACCAACCATCTGTCTGTTGCATGTACTTACACGTACGTGCAGGAGCAGGAGTAGGAGCAGGAGCAGCAGCAGGAGCAGGAGTTGCGTGTGTGCACGCAGGTGGCGCACTTATTCAAGTCAGGGCCGGAGTCGTGCATACTTCGATCTGTGGAAGTGTATACCGCCTCCTGCATCAGTATGAATTACTATTAACGGTGTGCAGAATAAATTGAATTTCATTGCATGACGACGTCAATTAAAAGCATGTAAAACCGAATTGCCAATGACGTTTTTAAAATGCAGTCCAACCGTCAACGACAGGGCAGACACGCCCACTTCGCTTAATGAGTCGGCAAATGGCTGATAAAAATGCCGAGGCAATATGAAAAACGTTAACTGCTAGCCTTTGAGTTTTTGTTGTTGTTGTTGTTGTTGCTGCTGTTGTTGTTGTCGCTGACATCGGAACATGGCTCACAAAGTTACCCAAACTGTCAGGGAACATTGATAAGAGTGGCAATAATGACTCGATTCGATTCGATGCGATTCGATTCGATGTGATGCGATGCGGACTGATTCCACTCATTCGATTTGCCTGGCTTAATGACCAGACATTAAGCGAACCCTTTCAAATGATTTAATATGCAGCATTTAATAATTGTCAAAGCAAAAGTTTTTTAATCAAACTTACTCGCCGAATTTTTAATCAAATTACAACTTTTGCAGCAGGCAGGAAATAATAAAAATGGAATTGTGCACTTTTTGTTTTTTTTTTTTTTTTTTTTGTAATTGCGGCTGCACTTATACGTTTAAACAAAAATCCCATTAACAATTATGACCTTCCTTTCTGCCGTCAAGTAGTTAAAACTTGAAAGCAAAGCGCACTGCCATTGACTGGGGCTTTGCTGGGGCAGCGCTTGGCTTCTCTTTAAGACCGACAACAGTTTGTATGGCTGCGCTGTTAGCGAAGATGCTTTGGCTTTGGCTTCGGCTTCGGCCCAGCCTCATTTCCACATTTTACTTTTGAAGTTTTTAATTCTTTGAATCTTAATGACTTCTCGTAATAAGTTTTCATTTCTCGTAATTTCTTAGGTTAATAGAATCTTTCCAGCTTGCAGTTGCAGTTGCAGCTACAGCTACAGCTACAGCTGCCGTGTCAAGTAACTATAAATGAAACGACAGTGGGCCGAGCAGCCCTCGCACTCACGCAAACTATGATGAAATATGAAAACAATTACAAATTAATTAGAACTATTCAATTGAGGCTGCTCCAAAAACTGTTCAACACGAGTGAACGAATTACGCTTAATCAACGTGCCCGAGCCATAATCGAACCCACTGTGTGGTATTGAAACTTTGTGTTGGCAGCAGGAAGAGGGGCCAAGAGAGCCAGGCCATTATTATGAAGTTGACGCACAGTCAGTCAGCAGCAGGAGCAGCAGGAGCAGCAGAGAACTGCCAGGAAAAACGCAAACGACAATAATGACGACGACGACGACGACGACGAGGAGGAGGAGCTCTTTCGCCGGCCCGAGATTCCTATGGCAGTGCTATTCAAAGGGAAGCGCTAGAAATGCATAAAAGTCGAGTTCATAAAACGCAGCAGGACCTCAGTTGACATTTATGCGAACCGCGTGCTCTGGCTTTAAGTTACAAAATGGCCAAGAAGAAGGAGAAGAAGAGCAAGCAAGCAAGTAAAAAAAAAAAGAAGAGAAATAATATTAACTGTAAGCCGCCTCAAAAGAAGTCCAACTATGAGCCGCGTTAAGCACTTGGAACGGACAGCTAAGCCCACATCATCGTCATCCTTGGCCGCGGCTAATCATAAATTCAAAAGCGGCAAAAGTGCAGCGCAGTTACAATTAACTTATTAGACGGGCTTTGGGGCCAAAACAAAAGCCGAACGGCCAAAGGAAGCGACTGCGCAAAGGAAGTGCGCGTGCAAATTGTGGAAATGAAAGCGAAACGGCAGGCGTCAAAATGACCAACGAGCAGGGAGCCTGTGTTAGCGGAACGCGGCGCAGCAGGAGCAGAGAATGTACCGGTGCTAGTTAATTTTGCACATGGGTCCTGCGTCTGCTCACTCTGAAGTATGCTTCCTCGCTCGGCTACTGCGCCACGTGGCGTAATTCATTTAACTGCGGCATCTTGAAAGTGCTCCTGCTCGTGCTAGTGTCTCCTGCTCGCTGCCAGCCAAAGCTCTGGTGGAGCATCCTTGATTGCCAGCGACATTTGCTAATTAGGAAAATTGATTTGGAATTTATGATGCGCAAAATAGCCAGAGGATCGTGGTGGATTGCCTCGGTCTCTAATTGAAAGTTAATGTTTTGCATAGTTCTTTCACTTAACGCACAGCTGTTTGCGCAATTCACGTTACGTATTGTTGCATATTGCATACACACATACATACAAACATATATACACACAGTTATTTCAACACTTCCTATTCTTCTCCTTTTGCAGTTGTTGTGACATTTTGGCAACATAAAACGCAATGGCGCCAAAGATGACGCCATTCTTGCAGCTCGACAAAATGGCGACGAGGACGACGACGACGGAAATACGCTGGCTCTGCCGATTGCTGCTGCTGGGGGCTTGCATTGGCGCCGCCATAGCTCGAGGTAAATATAACCTGATTACTTCTCAACATATTCACAATTTCGTATCAAAAAATATATTATATAGAAATGTTGTTTAAGCCATATCCGCAAATAAATCTTCAGAGTTCACTTACGGATTAAAAGACTCATTTGAAATACAAAGGCAGATATTTTGCTATATCTACTCAAGCACGGTCTATATTAAATATGTCAGGTCTATAGTCCTGATATAATATATCTGAAGTCGATAGACAAAACTTAGCTTGACTGTAACTCCAATCAAATTTTATTCGAAATACAAGCAAGACCGATATTGTGCTATATCTACTCAAGCACTGCCTATAGTTCCGATATGATATATCTGAATCCATATCGAGATAGACATATTTTTTATTGGCAGGTCAAGGTGCAGGCAAAAACTCATTTATTCGAACCATCAAAGTGTTTCCAGCGGCATATTGTGCAAAAACTAATTATCTGTCAAAATCATATTGCCAAACAAGTGCACAATGTCCTTTGCGGCCAGAGGATATAAACGCATGCGAAATATTATTAATTAAAATGTTAAAATTGTGCGAGGAAAAAAATCAGTTGTTGCCGTTGAATACAGTTTATAAAATGTTGCGATTGTTTTTGCACCAATTATCATCATTTTTATACCATACGCACGACCTCACTGAAAAGAAATTTCCCAGATCCCTGGCTGATTTTTTGCTGCTATATGTACGTGCTCTGTCCGTATATTAATAATGTATATCATGTCATTTGTGGAATATTGATTTTGTCAATTTAATAAATGTACATATTTTAATTTTTTAGTTTAAGCGCATTCCTCGACTAGTTTAAGCTCTTAATAAATTTCAAATATGTGTCAACATCGCATCAATTGAAATTAAATTGAAATATGCAGCGCATTTAAGCAACAAAACTCAGCACACAAAAAATAAAGAAAAACGGGACAATAAACTGAACTGCCCATGAAATATGAGTGACAAAATCACACAGGGAATGCCAGCAGGGCTTACGCGGCCGATTCAATGGCGACAAACTAAATCCTTCGTCTCGACACTCAACCGGATCAACCACAGCCAAAGCCTCAATTCAAGCTGTGGCAACTAGTTGATATCCTATACAGAATAGGTAGACCTCAATTAATGGCCTAAGGCAGATATCTTCTCTGTTGAAAGCTATTAAAGCCTAGCTATATCTTTCTTCTTCCGGCAGACTGCCTATTAAGAATTTGCTGAATATTTTTTTACTATCATTTATATATTTAGTTCAATTGCAAAACCAATTACACGTTTTAGAAACGCCCAATTGTATCGATTATCTATTTCGATTAGAGGGTATGATATACCAATAAAAACATTAAACAGAAAATATGGGAAAAAAAAAACAACAGCACCTATCAGAATTCGCTCACACTAAGCTACTGGCAACTACATATCAATCGATGCTCTCCTAGCATCAAAAAAAGCAACAGTGAAGTGCTTTGTTATCGGGCGTAGCCGACGACCTGATACTCGTATAAGCTAACTTCGTTATAGTAACTTGCCTAGCAAGCTCTTAAAAATTAAAGATATATATAACTACATATTTAGATATAAAGGTATATATTAAATTTGTTAAGCAGCTCAACTGAGGTAAGAAGTAAATGTCTGATCATATAACTTCGAGTCGAGCTTTGATAAACCTAAAATCGCAAAAAATCGAAAAAAAAAATTCTATACCCTTGGAAAAAAGTTCCAGATTATTCTCAATAATTTGAATTTCTGTGTAAGTCGAAAAAAAAAAATATACCTTTGCCATTTCGAATTATCGGGACTCGACAGTATTTTGATACGACTCTAACTTCAGACAATTAATTTACTCGCTTAATTTAATATATAGATCATCAAATTTATATATATATACACATTGCCGATTTGCCACGCCCTAATGTATATCCATTCAAATTTATGTCACATTAAATCTACAATCTAAATCTTCAAATAGGTCATAGAATGTCAATCTGCAGAAAACCAATATACTCACTTAATTTCATGAACTGGCATACAAAATGAATTTGCGATGCAACGAATGCGGATCACGTGATTGCCATGGATATGCCATGGGATGGCCATCTCTGTGTTGCCGTTGCCGTTGCCTCTACCATTGCCAGTGCTGTTCCTGGCTGACGGTGGCCCGCAGCTCATGGCAATTTCATAGCCATATTGCGACAATTTTTATTAAAATTTAGAATTTTTCAATTTATTTAGCACTTCTCTCGGACGCCGTCTGTGACGGCGCTCGACTCGCCTCGACTCTCGATTTGCTGCTTGCTTTTTGATTTGTTGCAGCTGCGTGAAATTGGTCAGCAAAAAAGAAAAAACAAGAAAAGCGAAAAAATGGCAATGGACACCGTACGTGATTTGAATTTAGTTTGGCCCAGTCAGCAAAAAGCCAACATCTCGTTGTTTGTTAGCTAAGCGAAAAGCGATAGTCGGCTTAAATGCTGCCACACCCACCAGTGGGCTGGCCCATGGGAGCTCAAATTGAATTAGTCATTTCAATAATAATATAGCCAACTATCATTGCTCCTTTGCATGTTGTGTGGTATTCAGCTGGGCAAACGTCCGCACCCTGGCAAACGAGCCAACGCGCAGACAGACAGTTCCCTGGGGCAAACACTGAAGCACAAGGAGCAACAGCAGGAGCACCACCAGCAGCAGCAGCAGCAGCAGCAGGAGCAGCAACAGCTGCAGCAATACACTGTTTTGCCTCGTGCCACTGCGCGTCGCAATCAATGGAATGAAATCTGCAGTGGCACATGAAACAAGTGGGTGAAAGGCAAATTAGAAATTGCAAAAATTGTCATCGAGCCTTTGCCTCTGTTGCCTCTGTTGCTTCTGCTGCTGTCGCCTTTGCCACGTTCCACTTTCCCCTTGCCTGCTGACTCCGTAGTGATGGCTGCCAACACGCTGATAAGTGTTGCAGCTCGAGGCAGTTGCCGGTAAATCCTTGTCTGCAGACATTCCCCCCAGGCAGTTCAGTTCGGCGCCAGCTAAATGCTAATTTTATTATGACAAATGCACAAAGTCCGCGCAAAAACTGTTTCGTTTCACATTTCGAGTCCATTTAATAATCCTTGAGTGCCACTTAGCCCAGCCCATGTGAGCTGTCATCAATCATTCACGATCACAGCTCGCCACAGCCACCGTCTTACACATCATTTTATTAGCATGTGGCTTGAGCGGTAATTTGTGCACCTCCGGCTGGAGTAAATTTAACAGGGAGCATTACTTATGCGGCTGACTGTGAGCGGCTAATTGAAAATGATCGCACACCAAAAGGCCAAGATAGGCACGCAGCAGCTGCGCTTAACTTAACTAGACATTTAGCTGGCATTACAGCAACGCCCCGAGTCCTGCTAACAATCTTGTTGGCGCAACTGCGACGCCAATGCAACACAACAAGCAAATCGTTAAGCAAACCGACTGTAAATCGAGATTGCAGCCAGTTGCCGCTGCCCCTGCTCTGCCGGCTGCCTCTGCGGCTGCGCAGCTGTCAGCTCTAATCTAAATAAGCGATTTGTCTGCGCATAACTTTTGCCTTAACCGGATCGGCCAGCCTGGCCTAGAGCCTGGGAGTGCGAGAGTGTGAGAGTGTGAGGCAGCTGCCTGACTAAATAATAATTTGTATAATTTATTCCAGAGAACTCTGGCCAGCAGCTCAGGCATTCTGTATTCAGGTATTTGCAGCGCGATAGCTTCTTATGGCCAGCTCTCTGGTATTCCAGCTCTGCAGCTCTCCAGTTGCATTTCAACTGATACTCCTATAAATAATTAACACGTGCATAACTTCCACTTGAAGACGCGACTCTGAATTGCAGTTTGAGCTTGTTTTTGTTTTGGTTTTTTCTCATTTTTATGGCAGTTGCTGAAGTTAGGTAAATTACATGGCCTTTGAGCAGACCTTAGTCCAGCTGGGCATATTCTATTCCATTCTATTCCGCTCCGCTGTCTGCTCTTCGCTTAAGAGCTTCCGTGGCCTTAGGGCAACCTTTTGTTTCAAAGCTTACAAAGGTTATGCACACCTGAGGTGTGTCTGCACAACTGTTAATTTACGATTAGAAACACAATGCTATTGACCTTAGCAAGCGAGTGGACTAACAATGCACAGGGCTGTGTATGCAAATATAATTTAATAATAGGCGCAGAGGCATTTTGAATATGGAATTAACAAGGTTTAAGCTGAGCCGATTATCTAAATAATAGAGACAACAGTGCTGCAGCAATAATAATAGTAAGAGCTAGTGGCTTAAATAAATTTTCAATTTCGACGAAATTCAATCATTGGTAAGTATTAACTTGGCCCAGTTGCCCCAGTTGCCCTGTTAATATGTTAACTACTTATGGATATAAGGAGCCTGCTTTACGGCGATTGTTCCTCCAGGTGCGCCAGGCAAAGTTAATTCTAAAGGTGACGCCACATCGTTAGCTGCCGGTGCTCTGTCACAATGCATATCAGCTGCTCTGGCAGTTGCTCTAGCTGTTATCAACCGTATCTCAGGCATACGGCGTAGTACAATAGACGCAACCTGTGAGATCCCAGTCCAGCCCGCTCACACCTCCTTCAGCCTTCACACTACCCGCTCTTAAGATTGGTTTAGCATTCTATGAGCTGCCTGAAAGTGGATTGGAAAGTGACTGGGCGTGGCATGGGAGCTTTTGCAGCTACCCCACACTCACACACCTCTGCATACACCCATATATGTACTGCATTGTATAAAATTGTTGCTGTTGCTGCTGTAATTGTTATTATTCTTGTGGTATTGTTGCAGCTTAATTGAAAATATTGTAAGTACAACTTTGCGCTAGTCAGGGTGTGTCGGTATGTGTGCATGTGCTTCCTCTGTCTCTGTGTGCGAGTGTGTGTGTGTGTGTCAGTGTGTGTTTAGTAATCGCTTGCAGCGTTTCGTTGCGCCGCACTACAAATGAAATTAATTGAATCCCGTGGGCTGTACACAGACTCCCGCTACC